GTCTCTGCAAAGGCCACAGGGCAGAAAAGTTCAATAACAGTCCACAATGCCAATCAAGTTCTAAACAATTGTAGAAGAGAGTCACAAGTCATGACTCATTGCCAGAGTAATTGTGCAGATAGCCACAGCCATGAAGAGCACAGAGCAGGGAAAGTGGAGGGAGGGGGGCAGCACTGAGCAAAGATCCATGAGCCGCAGGCAGAATGAAGTTTGGGTTCAACTTCTGACACACTGTATGACCTTGAAAGTGTGCTGCCCCTGCTCTCATCTGTTGAAGGAGGGGTTGGAGAGAGAGGTCACTGACATCTCTTCCAGCTCTGATATTCCTGGGTCAGGAAGGTGGTAGGGAATGAGTGGACGATGAGTCTTACACATTGGTGCAAAACCGGAATGGAACTGGGGCAGCAAGGAGCACACGCCTCCACCGCTGACCCCCGGGGGTGTCATCTGATGGCTCGCTTGACCCATCTGGATCATACGACTGTGTACCTGCACAGAGCTCTCGCCCTGACCAAGCCCTGCACATACCCAATGTCTCCTGTGCTCTCACAGCAGACCTGGAGGCAGGATGGATACACAGGGCGGACCTAACTCTTCTGATTTCACAGAGGAGGAAACCGAGACACAGAGGATGGAAGGGACTCACTCAAGGTCCCACTGGGTGTTAGAGGCAGAGCCCAGAGCAGGTGTGGAAGAGAAATGAGGTGCTTCCTGCTTCCCCTGGTGGGGTCCTCTCACTCCTTCCCCCGCTCCACCGCCCCCGGCAGCCCCACCAAGTGTGCCGCTGACACCCCCATCACGCTGCACACCAGCTGTGCTCTCCTTTCAGGTTCCAGCAGGCAGCCACTTTGATTTGCAGCTAATTCTTTATTTTAAGAAGATTCACAACTCAATTACATCAGGTAACAATAGCTCACAGTCAATAATACAAAACGCAAACCCAATAAACATCCATGCTGACTAGGGGACGTGGGTTTAGATGAAGACAAACAAAAAAATTACAGCATCAGCTCGTTGAGAACAGTATCCTGTAACTTCCAGTAAATTGGAATCACTGCGAGGCATTTTCCCCACTTGAGTGGCAAGTATTTTAATTTGTTGTCATTTGTCAACCATCCAAATAAGTTGTTTACAAGCGATGGGAAAAGGCTTCGAAGATTCAGGCTGAGGTCATTATTCTGGCACAAGTTTGTGTAACATGATTCGTACAGTTCGGGGGTCCTCAGAGCACCAGGGCTGGCTTTATGCTCCCACTGCCTCCCTGTGGAAATAGGTCCTGGGTGAAACTGAACACCCTTGACCCTGGCTCCTTGGCCACACCCTGCTCCACCTATTGCCCTGCTCTCTAGAATCCGGGGCCTTATTCACTCACCCCCTTCTGCTTCTCAGAAGTCACCCCAGGAGAGGAGTGGACAGGCTCCCCCAGGTGTACATTAGCACAGCAGTTACTATTTGTTACTCACTAGCTACCCTCCAGGGGCTGAACTAGGCCCCTTATAAGGGGCATTATCTCATATAACTCTCACAACAACCTTTTAAGGTAAATATTCTTATCCCCCTTTTATAGATGAGGAAACTGGAGTTCAGAGAGGGTACATAAACTACCCAAGGTCACACAGCTGGCGAGTAACAGGGCCAGAACCAGGAGAGGTAAGCAAGGTGCCTTGGACACGAAAGTTCAGGAGGCTCTGGCTCTCAAGGTTGACCAAGTGCAAGGCCAACACCCGGGCAGGAGATGTCTAACCCAGTTCCTGGCCCTGAGTGACGGAGTTGGATTTGGATCCAGGTCTGTCTGCTTCCAGCCTGTGCTCTTTTCACTGTGGCGCAGCCCACCCAGGAGGAGATGGGCCTTCTAGTAGCAGCTAGAAGTTTCCAAAGGAGTGAAGCTCTGTGGTGGGATTTCAGGCCTCACAGGGCTGATGAGGGAGGCACTACCCCCTACCAGTAGCCCAGGTGGGCAGCCGCCAGTCCCGTGTCTTTAAGCCAGTAATAGTCCAGGTGGAAACGTGGGGCTGAGGCCATCACGCAGGAAAGCAAACTCCAGCTGCTGACACCTGGGTGCCAATCTCTACTGTCTCCTTTGGGGTCTGTAGAGCTGACCCCAGCCCAGAGTCCCCCTTGCACTTGGGAGCAGTTTGTAATCTTTTCAAACCCACTACTTACCCTCATGAGGGCAGGGGTCCTCATTTTTTTCCTTGGTAGGGGAAGCTGAGGCTCTGAGAGGTTAAGCAAGTTGCCCCAAGTCACACAGCCAGCAGAGCGCCCAGGGTATGACTCAGAACTCAGGGCTCTTTCCATCCACTTCACTGCCAACAGCCAGGTCAAGACCCAAATGGGGCTGGAGTTCAGACTCGGTTGGGGGCAAGAGAAATAGGAAAGAAGGCTTAGAGAGGGGAAAACATGTCAGGAACAAGCAACTTCTAAAATATAATGCTTTGGCTAAATTTAAACATGTGAAAGAGTTCAGAACGATTCATAATGCATGCGAATATGCAGAAAGGATGAGCCGGGTACAGCTTTCCTCTCAGACATAGCAGGAGTGGGCAGGGTGAGGACTCCCTCTTGGGCTGCAGTTTTCCAAGCCCACAACACCTTCAGATGGAAACGACTTTCTTAGGTAAACTGCCAAAGCCCCGGAACCTTGGAGGGGCCAGCAGGATAGATGTGGCCCGTCTACGCCCACGTTGCTGTCTCTACACTCCACAGAGTCTCTGGAATGCCCAGCACCACCCCGGCCCCAGGCTTGCCTTCTGTGAGCTAAATAATTCTGCTGTTTTCCTTTCACCAATGAGCCTTCCTTCTTCCTCAGCCTTTTAATTGTCCTTATCACCTCTCCTTTTCCAGTGGGTCAGGAGCGAGGGTGTGGCTGAGGGTCTGAGTGAATTAGGATGGGCCAGTAGCTTCTCAGACCACTCTCGTGCATCATATAACCTCGCAGCAGCATGTCGGAGGGGAAATGGGCTCCATGAGGGGAAATGTCGAGCTCTGGACCAGGGTTTGCCCGGTCCAAACGAACCCCTCTGGGCCTCGGTTTCCTCAACTGCCAAGTGAGATCGCTAACAGCTACTGTCTACGGCTGCTGGGGGGACGCCATAGGCACTCACGCCTGGCACATTGTAGGACGCTCAGGAATCGGCCCTACTTCCCTCTGCAGAGCTACGACGCCCCACTCCCCCACCCCAGCGCCTAGGTTTCCTGCCTCTTCATTCACGTTCACACAAGCCTGACTCGTACCCTCCACCTCTTTCTGCTTGTCTGGGTCCTACCCAACCATCATCTCCACCATGAAGCCGACTTCAGACCCACACCCCACACGCCCCAAACCAGCCAAGGCCTCCAGCTCCGCTGCCTCAATGTCGGTCGCAGTCCTCCGCCTCTTTCCCGGGCCCCGAGCACCTGATGGCCCTGATTTGTGCCGAGACCTGCCACTTTCTCGGGGCTTTCACCCATTATCTCCTTCAGATGTTGAACCTTCCCATGCCCCTGTGAGTTCGGAAAGGAAAGAATGGTCCCTCTTTGACGAGGGAAGGATCTGGGACTCTGAGAGGTCCACTCCTCACATGGAACCCCAGAGCCCTTTGGTGCCTCCGCTTTGCCTCCCCGATATAACCACCCCCACAGGGAGATGTCATAACTCTGTCTCCCCAATTTCTTTGGAAGCCCCCCGAGGGCCTGGAGCCCATCTCCCGCCTCGTCTTAGGCACGTGGCCTTACACCAGTTTGCAATGATCTCCCATCGGTGCCGGGCCCCGGAGACAGGACAGTGGGCTCAATTCTCCTTCGCTCTCTACAGAGACCTCAGGTCCTCACCTGCCACGTTAGCCATCAGCTGGCCCTCCAGGCTTGTCTCTGCAGAACAGGCCCAGGCTCTGCCTTAGGAAGGCCTCCAAGAGGCCCCTCCCATGCTTGGAACACAGGACATTTCCTAGAAGTATAGGTGGAGAAGCCACCGTGTGCGCACGTGTGCAAAACCAACTTGCAGCTCTCCCCGGAAGCTTTTCTTCAAGGACCTTGGATCTGAATATGCAGGGACTTGAAAGCCCCCCAAGTCCCTCTCCCTGGCAGCCGGTCTTTGGGGAGGCGTGTATATCGGGCTCGCGAGCTGTCTTCAGGGCACACCACTGTTCTGATACGGTTCATCAGTTGGGTCCTTTCTCCCCCATCCCTGCTTGACTTCAACTCAACAACCTAAGAGGCAGCAGAAATACTCCCGCATCCCCACTTGCTGGTTTTATTTTCATCATGATTCGTCGTTTGTTGCCCACACACACGTTGCTCCAGAAGGAGTTGCTGGCGGGATGCGAATAAACAGTCTGTGCTCGTAAACACCGCTCTCCTCAATCATTCCATGTGGGACTCCTTGTGTCTGGACCCCGTGGGGAGACTTTAAAACATTGTACCAACTCAATTACTGCTCCTTCAACCAGTAAGAATAATAATAAATACTTAGTGGGTGCTTCTTACTTGCCAGCCACAATTCTGAGACTTGCGACACTTCATTTCTTCAATCTTCACCACACACCTGGGCTAGAAGGTAGGTTTTTCTTATCCCCATTTTACAGATGAGGAACTGGAAAGTTCAATTACTTGTCTAAGGTTGACCACATGAGTTCTTTGCTCTTGGACAGGGAGAGAAGTCCATAACAGGAAACCCCAGGTATTCAGGACACCATCACCCCAACAGCCTACATTAATACAGACTCCCCCTGTCTTCATCTCTTCTCTCTCTCCCTGCCCCCCTTCTCCCTCTCTTCTACCCCTTACTAGTTCTTTACCTTCCTAGCTCTGTGAATGAGGCATCTCCCTGCCCCTCTCTGAACTTGACCTCCCTCTCCTGACAGTGGAGAGAGGACCCTCCTTGCTGACCTCATGGGCTGATGCAGGGGAGAGACCTCCAGCACGAGGGTGGTGCGCTCAGCCTGTTAGGAGCCGCTGGGTTGGCAGGAGGGGAGTCAGTCTTCATACCATGGCAGGAACCCATGCGCTCTGTCCTGTTGCAGCATATCAGTCTACGGAGCCGCTGGTGGGAAAGGCGGGAAGAACACGATGATGCGATCCCACGGCGTGTCTGTGCTGGGCATCTTCAACCTGGAGAAGGACGACGTGCTGTACATCCTGGTCGGGCAGCAGGGGGAAGATGCCTGCCCCAGTGTAAGTGCCCAGAGCGGGGGTTTCTCCTCCACACTCACCAGGACCCAGGCAGGTCCCTCAGAGGACACAAACACTGCACACACGCCTTCGGAGACCTCACGTTCAAAGACGGCGGGACTCACCCTTTGTTCTGCCTGCAAACGCTCCTCCCTTTCCAGGGCCATTTGGGTGCATGAGAAGGTGGGTGGTGTGGCTTTGGGGGTCGCACATCCCTACAGGCACCGAGGCTGAGGCATGGATTTTATGAGCAATCTTTAAAACTGAAGAGCTGAATTCTGCTAAAATGGGCAAATGGTGGTTCCTCTTAGCACAAGTGCGAGTTAAAGCCCACTGCCTAAGCTTTCTTGCAAGGGCACCATTGTCTTTAGCCATATTATCATAAACAGGAAAATACCAGACTAAACATGTCTTGTTCAGCTCAGAATCACAGACTCATAGCCACATATATGCATATAAAACCATAGAAAAAGTTCTGAAATATACAGATAACAGTGGTTGATTCTGGAGAGGGGACTGGAGTTGAGGGTGCTTTGTCAGTAATGTCTGATATTGTTACAAAAATAATGCATTCACATATTATTTATTATTTGTGTGATTAAATTTTTTAAAGTGTGTTAAGCACAGACTCAGAGCTGAAAGACCATGTAATCCACTACCCCCATTTCACAGATGAGAACATGGAGACCACAGAAGTGAAGGGACTTGTCCAGAGTCACTCATAATGCAGCACAGAGACTCTGGCTCCTATTTTTGCTGCCCCAAACTTGCTTGGGGCTCAGTTTCTACAGCCTTTTTCCCTTTTCCACTTATAACACATCACTTGACAAGCCAGACTGTCATCCTCTGCAGCCCCAGAGACAACCCTTCATTCTGGTTCCTGACCCCACTGGGTGTGTCCAGCTGTCAAACAGGGAGAGCTCCAACAGCAGTACTTAAGAAAGCCAGTAGTGGTCTAAAATGACCAGGAAGGGGAGACAGTGGAGACTGATAAAGCAGCAGCCATGCCTCTTGCCTGTGCTGGGGGACGCAGGACCCTGGTGGTGCTGGCTGTCTTGATGGGAACTCAGCACTCTGCAGGGGGTTCTCGGCATTGGGCCAGGCCACGCCCTCACCTGAGGGTGAGCTTCTGCACTGGGTGGGACCGGGGCAGGGATCTGGGTTCTAGGTCTCAGGACCCAGGGCTCCTTCCCCAGAAACTTATTCAAGAGCAGAGTTGGAAGACAGATGTGGGAACAAGAGCTATGAGAAAGCAGTTCAATTCCACTGAATAACCTCAAGGCTCCTAAGAGCCAGGCCCCAGGCTGGGAGCCAGGAGTAAAGTATGTGCCCTACCCCCAACCCCACCTGAGAGGCTGAAAACCAAGCAACAGGAGTAAGCTGCGCAGGCGCAAGCTTGTGCATGAGAAATGTCTGGACTCTTTTATTTAGCAACTATAATCAGGACTTTCCAACCTGATTGTTAAGTGTTAAGCCATTACACTACAAGCCGCTGTAATTTTCACAGGAATTTCTTGAGTGCTAATGTAATTCTTCCATCTAAGCAGAAAGATTGCATTGACTTCCGCAAGGAACTTTTACTTGATTGGATTGTCATCAATTACGTCTTTTCACAGGACTGAGTCCTTCTTTTTTAATTCAATTGTAATCTACTTGTTCCTCTGGACTGCTGCATTTTATCATTTTATTAATCAACCTACTTGCTCTCAAACCTTGGATGTGCCAGGGAAGTTCCAAAGAAGCCAGGGACGGAGAGCAGCCCCCTCTGCTGGTCGGGTCGGGCATAGCATGGGCGTGGGGAAAAGAATTGCTCTTCCCAGTTGCTCCACACCTCCGCCCCTCAGGAGTCATTTGAGAAAGGGAGAAAGACCTTTTACAGGCACTACCTCAATCTCCAGTCCTCCCTAGGCCGAAAAATGGACTTCACTAGAGAACGAAGTGGACCCCAAGAATTAAACTTGCAGGCTTTGGCAGCTCTGCTGGTTCTACTGCATTTCTGCGTGGAGTGGCTCTTCCCGTGTGCCTGGCCAACCCAAGCCTGGAATGGGCTTCAGCTGCTGGAACCACCCCCCCATACACACACACACACACACACACATACACACACACACACACACACACACACACACACACACACACCCCTCAGCCCCCGTCCTGTACACTGTAGGCTGTTTAGCAGCATCCCTGGCCTCTACCCACCAGATGCCAGTAGCATCCCTCAGAAATGACCATCGAAAATGCCTCCAGACATTTCCAAACATCCCCAGGGGAGCAAAACCATAGGTCTAAATGTTAGCTTCCACCACTACCATCACTCACAAGGCAAGTATTGTGAAGGGCCAGCCCACACCCACCCAGTTCCCAAGTCTTTCAAATGTATTCAGCAAATATGTATTGAGTACCTACTACACGCCAGTCACAGTTCTAGGAACTGGGGAGATATTCATGAACAAAAGGAAGATCCTTTGCTCTCATGGAGCTTACATTGACTCCAGGGGAAGAGGGACAAACAGACAATAACCAGTAAACGTAAGTTCCTCAGGACACCCAAAAGAGACAGGGTTAAGGTGCATAGAATTAGGGTGAAGGGGAGTCAGGTGTGCTGGAGTTCAGAGGCAGGTTGCAATCGTAAATAGAGTGGTGAAGGGAAGCCTACCGAGAAAAAGACAGCTGAGCAGAGCCCTGAAAGAGCTGAGGGACTGAACCAGGAAAATAAGTGGGGACTCCGGCAGAGCAGAGGCTGAGTCCCCAGGCGGGAGCGTGCCTGGTGTGCTCAAGGAGCAGCCAGGATGAGTGGGTAGAACAGGAGGGAGAGTAGGTGAGAGACGAGGGAGGGGTGATGGGGACCAGGTCAGGCCATCAGAAGAACATACTGAAGCCATAGGACGGTTTTGAGCAGAATAGTGACCTGAAGCGATTTGCATATTAGCTCCTCTGGCTACAATGTGGAGAACAGACCACTTGGGCCCAAGGGAGGAGTCGGGGGCAATGAATCTAATGGCTATTGCATTAATCCAGGCAAGATGATGGTGGCTTGGATAAAGACAGTAACAGTGAAGGTGGTGAAAAGCGGCTGAATTCTGGGTGTATTTAGAATATAAAATCCAAGAACTATGCCCGAGCCACTGGAAGGAGGGAGCTGCCTTCACGAGAGCTGGGGCCCGCTGCGGAAGGAGCAGGTTCACTGAGCTCAGCTGATCTGGTAGACGGCCAAGGGGAGGCTGCTTGTGGACAAGGAAGACAGGCCACTGGCGTTCAGGAGAGAGGTCTGGAAAGGAGATGCAAATCCAGGAGAGGTCAGCATAAACTGAGACAGGTTGAGATTGTCTAGGGAGTGGTGTAGATGGAGAGGACCACGGGCTGAACCCTGCAGACCCCCAACATTTAGAAATGGAGAAAAGAGGAACCAACAAAAGAGGCGGGGAGGGGGGAGCCAGGGATGTAGAGGAGACTCCAGAAGTCAGGTCAAGAAAGCGAATCATGGAAAAGTGATCAGCTCCTCCAAATGCAGCTGTGGACCCAGCAAGATGCAGACTGAGAAGCGAATCAACTCTTCCCTCCCCCCACCCCATTCAAAGGAGACACCTGAGCCGCCGCCGGGGCAGCGGGGAATGCGCTGACGCTGGGCTCTAGTTAGACAAAGGCCATCCTGCAGCCCAACTGCTCCCTCCAGCAATCTCCAGCCATCGGCAAGTTCCGTTCAAGGGAAGAAGGCATCCCCAAGGGGTGGGGGCCCCACTGCTGCCAGGCAGAGGAGAGGAGGAAAGGGAACATGGTCGGAGGGGATGGACCTTCTTAGCACCACTGGTTCGCACTGGGCAGCTCCCCAATTTCTTTTAGTTATTTATTTAGACTTTTTGGCTGCATCGGGTCTTAGTTGCATCACGTGGGATCTTTCGTGGCGACGCGTGGGCTTCTCTCTAGTTGTGGCGCGCGGGCTTAGTTGCCCTGTGCCATGTGGGATCTTAGTTCCCCGACCAGGGCTCGAACCCGCGTCCCCTGCATTGGAAGGCCGATTCTTAACCACTGGACCACCGGGGCAGTCCCGCAGCTCTCCAGTTAATAGAGGAGGACAGATCCAGACAGATGGCCCAGCAAAGCTCCAGTCAGGAAGTGAGACTGGACACTGTCTTCTGTGCTCTGCCCTGCCTAGCTGGCAGCACACACTTCCATGCCCTGTCCCTGGCTCTGCCCTCAGAGCATGCCCCTTGCATCTCAGGCCCTCCCCAGGCAGCGGTTGGCAGGGTTTCCTTCCAGCAGACTCCATGCCACTCGGCCCCCGCCCCAGCCCTGGATGGCATTGCACATACACAGGAGAAATGTCAGCTGTCCACAGTAGCAATTCAGACCCTTCCACCCACACTAAATCCACTCTAAAACATATCAAATTATTTCCATCATTAAATCCAAAATGCCATAAAACAAATTGCATCTCAGCTATTTATCTGGAAATTTCTCTAGTACTCATTCCCGGCACCCCTGAGTGCTTTAGCATAAGAAGTCACTCAAGATGAATTGCCACGTCCACTGGCTGGTTACACAGCAACATTCGATGAAAATTTGATGTTTTGTTGGCCTTTTTTCTATTAAGCGAAAGCAGTCATTTTCCTCCAAGGTCAGGCCAATGCGTGGAGAGTTCGTCTCAGCTGCTGTGACTGACAAGCAGGGTGGCTGTTCTTGAAACGCTGCCCTCTTTATTCAGGGATTCCAGGCTTCTGGGTCACAGGAATTTCCAGCATGTCCCCAGAGACTCCCAGATGCCTGGGCCCACACAAGGTGGAATAAAATCTGAGTTTGGCCTCCCACTGTTTTCTTCTCTTTACAAGATACTTCAAACTGCAACTTCTCAAAAAACCTCAGTGGCTCCTCGCTGCTTAGAGAATGAAGTCCAGCTCCTTCTCTGTTTGTATTCAAGGCCTCTGTCCAGGATCTGACTGTCCAGTTAGGTTCCCTCTACCCACTCCCATTTACACTCCCGCCAGCACTGTCTTACCGCATGGGGCCTTTATCACCCCCTCTTCAGAATCCAAAGGATCCTAACAGGTCCTCCTGGACCACCTCTCTGTCCTGAGATGGACTTTTCTGAGCCAGAGAGACTCCTTATACTTTCCCCCCCAAATACCATGCTCACCTCCTTCCCTCTGGACTCATGCTGATCTCCTCCCCTGTAATGTCCTAATTTTCTCCCATTCTCAGTGTTTAAAAATCTCCCCATCCTTCAAGGCCCAAGTGAATGCCACCTCCCCCAGGCAGTCCTCCCTGCTCACCAGTCTAGCAACAAAGCCTCACTCTCCCTCCTCAACTTCCCATGCATTTTCTTCTAAGCTGTCCCTGCGGTCCTTCTCCAATACTGCCCAGAGTGACAGTTATCTGTGTGTAGTTTTTGTCTCCTCAATTCAACGGCAAGCTATTTGAGAGATCGTCAGACCCTATCTTTAAACATAGAAGGTCTGTGTGCTGGGAGATAGAGAACCCTGGGCACAAACCTGAGGTGCTTTTTGTTTCTCCAGACAAACCAACTAATCCAGAAAGTCTGCATTGGAGAGAACAACGTGATAGAAGAAGAAATCCGCGTGAACAAAAGTGTGCACGAGTGGGCAGGAGGGGGCGGCGGAGGGGGCGGAGCCACCTACGTATTTAAGGTGAGGTCTGGGTGCCAGCTTCCCCAGGGCAGCGCCTTCTCTGTGTCCTGGTGTTGGATCCTCAGGACAGAGCTGGGAATGAAGCACCTCGGGTGCTCGTAGCCCCATTTAAAGTTGAGGAAACCAAGGCCCAGAGGGAATATAAGGTTCCCTGTCCATCCAGGAAAGGGCAGGCCCGTCTCATGTTGATATGCCAGCTGGATTTCACCACGCACACCTTTGCCATCCTGCTTCAGAGTCCCAGAGGGTCCCACTGTGCCCTCCTCTGTCCTAAGGTGGACTTTTCTTATGTCATCGAAAATAGGCAAAGGTTTCCTGCTGGGTCTTCCTGCAGGGACGGTGATGCTGAGGGCTTAATCTTGAAGTTGTGGGGATCAGAGCAGAGACCCCTGAGTGTGCAGAGGAAGGAGAGAGGAAGAAGAGGAGAGAGACCTGCTTCTGCACACCAGCTGCCAGACCCCTGAGGCTAGAGAGGAACTTCAGGAAAGGGGCTGTAGAAACAGCCTCCTCGTATTCAGAAACATTTCTATCTCCTAGTGCTTTTGCTTCACGTACTGAACCTGGACTAATACACGAGCCCGGGGCTGGAGGGGATGGAAGAGCTGATGGGTTGTTGTAACATGAGATCAGGGCCCTCAGACCACTGAGATGTCACCCACTGCCCAGCAAACACTCGGCCACATTTAAATTGCTCAGGGGTCTCCAGAGTGGGAGCCCCACTCGGTTTCTCAACCTCTGAATGTCTCCCCTGGGCAGATGAAGGATGGAGTGCCAGTGCCCCTGATCATTGCGGCCGGCGGTGGCGGCAGGGCCTATGGAGCCAAGACAGACACGTTCCACCCAGAGAGACTGGAGAATAACTCCTCAGTTCTAGGGCTGAATGGCAATTCCGGAGCCGCAGGTAAACCACTGCAAGCCCACCCTCTCCCAGAACATTCTCCCGGGACTGTGTGAGCTTCAGCTCGGCCGGGCGCCATCACACGCCTGTGGGCATCTTAGTCGCTGGCCCTTGAGATGCTGGGAGCTCTGGATACTGGTACCAGGATCAAGAGAGGAAGGGCAGGCCACACGCTGGGGACCCAGAGGCCCCCTTGCCAGCACGGGGTTTGGACTTGCAGAAGGTCACTGAGAAAATGAGGTAGGCGGCAGCAGTCTGGCCGCCAACCCAACCGTCCCCGGGTTTTACCAAATGCAACTGGATGTGAGCAGGTGGAAGGAATCTGGGCAGAGTCAGGCCCCCGGGCCCCTGTGGCTTGTTCGTACTTCCGGGCCCCGGGCTGCCAGGGCACACATCTCCTTGCTGGAAAATCTCTTTCTGGAATCTCCATGGTTGGGCTCTCTGTCTCCTTAATGAGAGCCAGCAACGCAGAAATAGGGGGCAGACACCAAAGGGGATGTGAATTCTCTGATTCCTCCGAAGTCAGCCATTCCTCTTTGTATTTTCTTTTTTCCACAATCAGATCGAGGGAGGATTTTTGAAGGCGTTTAAGATTTGAGATTAATTAAAATAAACACTCAGACTTTCTCTTCAATTGAGAGAGAGATAGAAGAAAGAGGAGAAGCGGTCACAGCGAGGAATTACCGCAGTGATACAGTGCCCCTTACATCCGTCCAGCATGTAATAAATTACAAAGCACTTCCACATCTATTATACATGTGCTTTTCAAAACAGTCCTGTAGGGTTTTCCAAACATATCATTTCATTTTACAGAAGAGTCAACAAGCTCATGGAAAGTTGGTGGATTTTTTTCCTCAAGATGGCCAAACTGTTTCGTACTTAATCCGTTTTTTAAAACACTGCTGTTGCTGTTTTTATTTTTACGCCCATCGTTTTCTTTTCCACACGTTTGCTTGAAGGCTGCAAGATAGAGTGGGGGTCGGAAACCAACTTAGCTGGGGACTGTGCAGGATGCAAGGGTAGGGTGCTCCGGGCAGGAGGGCAGACCTGGTATCAGGCCCATCTCGTCCTAACTTGTTCACTAAGCTCACAGCCCCGAATAGCCAGCAGAGCCCACTTCCGGCTAACGGCGCTGAGGGGCCTTCCCTCCACCACGTGACATCAACCACCTTGACTAGCCCCATACCCACCCTCTGGCTGGCAAAGGGAGGCCAAACACTTGGAGTCCTGTAGCTTCCGAAGCTGACAGAAGGTCCTCACGACTTGTCCAGGACCTCAGTTCAGCTCTGCTTGTCTCTGTTCCAGACCCAAGCTTCTTCCTGACCTCGACCTCATTTCCTGAAACCTGTCTCCCTCTTTCTAGCACCATAGTCATCCCTGTCTGCAGCTTTCCCCACCTAGACGTCCCTCTGCTGCCCCCTCTGGGTCCGGAAGAACCTTGGCCACAAGTTCTCCCAGAGGACCCTTCCGGGCAGGTTAACCCTTACGGTTCCAGCAGACACACGCACAGCTGTTTCTCCTGGTTCCCACCTGCCAGCATCTGCTGGAGCAGAAAGGGCTTTGGGGTCTTCTGGAGTAAACTGCCTCTTGAAATGTCACACAAAACGATATGGGGAGACAAGGTGGGCGTCCTGGAATTTCCAGGGCCTCGGGAGAGATGTACTGTGGTCTGCCTGTGGCCTTAAGATACAGTTACGTTCAACCTAGCTCTGTAAAGAACATTTCGTTTGCAAGAGTTCAGAGCAGGCCCAGGCGTTGGGAAGCACAGCTCCAGCTGCTGCCACTGTAGCCAGAGCATCACCACCTCCACCCACAGCTCTCTTTGCTCTTGACCTCGGAGCAGCTCCTTAGTAGCAGGCAGGCAAGACACTGCCTGAGCTTCAGAGTGTGAGGCCTCTGCCTGTGTGTGTCCTGCCTCACAAACGCCCAGCGAGCCCTCCACTTGGCGCTTTGTAAAATATTTCATACGCTCCCTGTCTTCTTTGATCCTAACATCCACCCCATGAGGCGTCTCATCATCTCCGAGTGACAGGTGAGGAGACCAAGTCTCAGGCCGGGGAAGTTCTTGCCTTGCAGACAATTAAAGCACTTTGGGTTATGTGGTGCCTTAATCCAGGGCTCCTGCTAGGAATTTCACTGCCGTGACCTCGGCAGGGTTTTGACAGCTGGTCCTGGTTCTTTGAGATGGGAAGCAGTTAATGAAACGCAGGCCGGGCGCTTCAGGAGTTGGCAGGCATAGAGGGAAGGCAGAGGCAGAGTTCAGTAGTCGTGCAGCCTGTCCCCTCCACCTCCCCCGTCCCTCACCGAGCACACTGCCGGGCTCTTGAGCCAGAGGCCTGACAAGAAGCTGGGGCGCGAGGGGCTCCCATCGGGACATGCACGACTGTAGCCAGAGCAGCTCTCCCTCGGACAAAGGGCACGCTCGGCCGTGGACTCTGAAGGCCCCAGGCCCCACTGAGGACAGGGCCCCTGGGCACTGGACAGGGGCAAGCACCCCTCGAAGACACCGAGCCCCGCTTCCTTCGCCAGGCCCAAGCTGCCCAAGCCCAGCCAGCACCCTCACCTCGGCGTTTCTCCGTCTCTTCCCACAGGTGGCGGAGGTGGCTGGAATGATAACACTTCCTTGCTCTGGTCTGGAAAGTCTTTGCTGGAAGGTGCCACCGGAGGACATTCCTGCCCCCAGGCCGTGAAGAAGTGGGGGTGGGAGACCAGAGGGGGTTTCGGAGGGGGTGGAGGGGGGTGCTCCTCAGGTGGAGGAGGCGGAGGATATATAGGTAAAGATGATTCGCGTTCAAGGTGTCACTGCCCTCCCCACTTAGTCCTAGGCACCTCACCTCCCTGTCCGCCCCCCGGCCCCTGCCTGCACGCCCCTGGCCCACCCCCAGTGTGGACTGTAATGTGACCTTGCACGCCTTCCTCCCAGCCCCACCACACGAGCCAGAGGCAGGGTGTTGGCTTTCGAGCCAGCATCCTGCCTCGAGGTTTCAATAGGACAGCATCAAGATCCCATATGATTCTTGATCTCCCCCAAAGCCAATGATAAAGGGGCTTTGGCTTCCCAGCCTCTCCTCTGGGCCTCCCCCAAGGACGCACTGGCCTGAGAGCCTTGGAGGCCAGACTCCTCTACCCCGTGCCTCCCTTCGGATGGCCTGGCCCGAGTCCTTGCCGAGCCCGCTCCCTGAGGGCCTGGTGTGCAGCTTCTGGCCTCGTGGACTCCCCACACTCCCTTTCCTGCCCCAGCCCGCCAGCTTCCAGAAGGGCGCCATTCCCCCTGCTGATGGGTGCTTGCCCTGAGGGCAGCTGCGGGCAGTCCCAGCCCAGCCCTTCAGCAAGCAGCTGGCCCCTGGCCCCAGCTCTCCTCTGGGCTTCAGAGCAGAGCAGAAGAGCCTTCTGAAGCTGAGAATCATCCCCACAGACTAGGACACAATGCATGCACGTGCTGTGATGTGCTGTCCGTGTTTTGCTTTACGCTGTGTGTGAGATGCTCGTGTTGACCAGATGCTCTTCTTTTCCAAGCCTAGGGTGGGTGGGCGGAGCCCAAGGGGAGGAGCCCAAAGATAACCCAACCCCCACTGAAAGGAGGAACAGGAGCCTAGAGGCACAGGGGCCCATCCCCCCTGCCCCAACCCTGACCGGATGGGACAGGACAGCCACTCCTCAGTGCCACTGCCCGACCAGTCCTGGGAGAGGGGCCAAGGGGCCAACTCAGCCCGGGGAGACTAGATCTCTTCTGACTCTTGCTAACACGGACTGCTTCCTGGGGGGGGCCCAGCAGAGTGGTGAGACCCCCCAGCGGGAGCTGGCCCGGACCTGGAGGAGAAAGTGGCCCACACACCAGGCTTCTACTGAGCCGAGCCCCAAGTGCAGCCCCTGTGCCCTGAGCCTCCCTTCCCTCCCCACCGCCCCGCCCTCGAGGCCCCTCCCTGACCCCGCTGCTTGCCCTGCTGATGTGCACATGTGTCCAGACTTGGGCACCCACCTCTCTGCGTTAAACTCTCCTCTGGTTTGCCACAGGTGGCAATGCTGCCTCAAACAATGACCCCGAGATGGACGGAGAGGATGGGGTTTCCTTCATCAATCCACTGGGCATCCTGTACACCCCAGCTTTAAAAGGTACCCCCTCTGCCAGGTGGCAGAACCAGCTTCCTTAAGCCAGTTCTCCCTCCCAGCTAAAACTCCAGGGCTACTGATGTGAGTCCAGGACACAAAGGTGTGATCGTGGGTCCCTTGCAGGCAAGTCTACTTAGTGGTCATCTCACCAAGTTTCCTGGAAATCAGGATGCGTGATCTGATTTGGACACAGAAGGAGAAGACTGGCCAGCCCTAGAAAGTGCAACAGTAATAGGCCCGGTACCTGTACCAACCTAAGTGACCCTCGTGTGGACCCTCCCACTTGCCTGCCTGTCCTCTGTCTGAGTTCCCCTCACCAGATGCGCTGTGGACTTTCCTGCACAGGCAGCGCTCCCAGCGGCAATGGGACGTAGGAGCAGGGACCAGAGAACCCGCCCTGACCAGCTGGAGACAGAGCGCAGAGCCTGGGGGTGGGGTGCAGGGCGGCCTCCGCCCGAGGCTGACCCTCCCTCCTTCTCACCAGTGATGGAGGGCCACGGGGAAGTGAATATTAAGCATTACCTGAACTGCAGCCACTGTGAGGTAGATGAGTGCCACATGGACCCCGAGAGCCACAGGGTCATCTGCTTCTGTGACCACGGGACAGTGCTGGCCGAGGACGGCGTCTCCTGCATAGGTAAGGGGGTGGGGGAGGGAGCCCAGAGCTTGAGCCATAGCTGGTTTCTTTGGTTCTGGGACACCTCAGATGCAGTTTTGTAAACTTCCTGACACCCCTGTCTGCCCCCAGCACCAGTGCTCTGCTGATGGGTAGAGGGACCTGTGTGTGAAAGGTGGGTCACGGCCCAGGAAGGAGTCGCAAGTCACCTAGTCCCACCCCTAATCCCAGATGTGACCCCCACATCCCCACCAGGGGACCGGCCCATCTCCACTGGACCCCCCAGCGCCAGGGACCTCAGTACTCCTAAGGCACAGCGTCCCATCGGGGAGTCACAGCGCCAGACCCGTTCCTTCCAGCTTCCACTCCTGGGCTCCCTGCTCACAGGGGCCCTTCAGGCGTGGCGTCTGAACACAGCGCTGCCGTCCTCCTCCTCAAGTCTTCTCCACATTAAATAACCCGTTTATTTCCATCCATTCATGTGGGACACAGGTTTATGCCTCCTTCTCACCCTGGTGTCCCAGTTGTCAACGTCCCTTTTGAAATGCAGTGTCCGGGCCCAGGCACGGTGCCTCGGTGCGGTCCATGCCAGCGTGCACCCGGGCCCGCCCTCCCCTGCGCTGGGCCCGGTGCGCTCGCGGACAGAGAATCAAGTCAGCCTCTAGAGTCTAACTGACCGGGACACTCTGTCGCTGGGTCGTACTGAGTTTGTAGTCATCTAAGGTGCCTGAATCTCTTCTGCAGCCGCTGCTGGCTCACTTTTCATCCTCATCCTGTCATGCACATTTGATGTTTTGGATCAATGTCCAGATTTTGATATTTATCCCTTTTACATATTCCCTCCCCACGAAAGCTACTGTTGAAAGTTGTAAAACCAGGACAAACCTGCTTCATGGCCTGGTCCTCTGAAAAGGATGGTGGTCCAGGCGTCCAAGGCCGGGGAGGGTCTTTCTGACTTGGGGCCAGCTCAGAGGAGAATCCGTGTGGTCATTGGTGCCCCGTGGGGACCTGTCTTCCAGTGTCGCCCACCCCGGAGCCCCACCTGCCACTCTCGCTGATCCTCTCCGTCGTGACCTCTGCCCTCGTGGCCGCCCTCGTCCTGGCTTTCTCCGGCATCATGATCGGTGAGTGTCCCAGAGCCCCAGCACTTCCAAAGCGGGGCAGGGAAGGCAGACCTGGCAGAACAGAACAGCATCTCAGGCTGTGCCGTGGATGCCGAGGTTTCACTCGAGGTTTCACTGCCCCTGGGTGGGCAGTGATGAGGGCAGCCCACGCCAAGCCAAAACAGAAGGCCCCCTCACTCCACCCCCTGCACATCCCTGGTCCTAGGAGCCATGATTCTGAACCTCAGCCCTGTGCATAGCCTCCTGGTTGCTCAAGGAGGGGGCACTCTTCAGAGTGCTAAAGGTCAGCCCCACCCCAGGCCTCCCTTTCAGCGCTCATCAGACCTGGGCTTCTACTAGTCTGGCTCGCTTCCCGTGTCACGCTTCCAGCCCGCCCTTCCCCACTCCATGCAGAGAATGCAGAGCTGGTTTCTGACTGTTTCCAATTAGGCCAGTGAGCCAGGGAGTGCTGACCTGCAGGTTGCAGAGGGCCCTGCATGGTCCAGCCAGGCTCTTCCTGCTGGAAATGCCCGGGACAGGTGGGCAGGGACCTGAGGGGAAGCAGAAGGAAAGGCTCAGCTCCGGACAGCACTTTCAGGCCAGCCGCTCGAGGGCAGGGAATCTGGGGTGGGGGGTGGGGGGGGTGGGGACAGGGAGGTGGCAGCTAATGTGATCCCCATGATGCCATCCTGCAAAGGGCAGGATGACGAGAGCTACCTGGCTGCACGCTTACCACGCGATGGGTGACTGACACATTTTAGTTCACCAGACCCTCAAAGAACCCTATGATCACGGTTGGCATATTTCACAGAGGAGGAACTGAGCGCACAGGAGTTGACTCACTTGCCCCGGCCCCGCCCTGTGAATCACCTCCCATGGAGTCTGCCTTATATATAGAATGTTCTCACACATAGTAGTAACAGTGATAGTGGTCACTTGTACTGGGAAAGCTGTTTAGAACTTTCCAAAACCATTTCTTTCCTTTCTTTCCTCCTTTCTTTCTTTCCTCCTTTCTTTCTTCCTTCCTTCCTTCCTTCCTTTATTTATTTATTTTCGTGGCACTGCACAGCTTGTGGGATCTTAGTTCCCTGACCAGGGATTGAACCCACACCCCAGCAGCACCATGTCCTAACCACTGGACCGCCAGGGAATTCCCTCAAACCATTTTATGTTGGTGAATTCATTTCATTATCACAAACCTAGGGGACGGGGAGTGGGGCTTTAGGAGACAGGGCAGGAGTTATTGTCCCTGCTTACAGAGAAGGAGACTGAGATCCAAAGAGGTCACGTGTCGCTTGTCAGTGTCACAGCTTGTAAGTAACAAAGGCAGAATTAGAACTCAGGCACCAGCTTAGACCCAGTTTAGAGACCTTTCACTCTGTGACGGTCTCCAGCTATGTGGCTTGGCGGTTCTTCAACTGTAGGAAACACAGGTGACCAAGAACCCCAGCTGTACTCTCAAATCCATTGCCATGCTTGCCCCACCCAGCGCCTGGGCAGAGCAGAGCTGCTAAGGCAGGCCCCCTCCTGGAGACATGGGACTCCTCTGACGGCCGACTTTGGATCCAGAACCTAGCAAGAGCCTTGCTGGGACTTCTTTAGACTGAATGGCCGTCTAGGGTCTTTGCTCAACCTTCCCTCACCCTGTCCTTCACATGGGGTCAGACTTTCAACACAGTATGGTGGCTTCCCAGCCTTCCTGGGTTCCCTCCCAATTATCTCTCACAGGCATTTCCCCTAGTAAAATCCTTGCCTGTTTAATCCTGTCTTGGGTCTGCTTCTCAGAGGACCCAAACTAATGTGCCTCTGCCCCTGCATGATACAATAAATGTTTTCCATTCATATGATTTTAAGCTTTACATTTACTTTCATCTTTCAATTAAAGGTACGCTTTCACATCTGTAATCATTTTGTTCGTATGACTAAGTGTGATGGAAAGATTTAGATCCCTGTGGAGGAGCTGGAGATCCAGGAAGGCTTCCTGGAGGAGGTGGCCTGGCTGCCTGGCCCGGGCCACCTTGCGCTGACCTCCATGTGTCTGCAGTGTACCGCCGGAAGCACCAGGAGCTGCAAGCCATGCAGATGGAGCTGCAGAGCCCCGAGTACAAGCTGAGCAAGCTCCGCACCTCCACCATCATGACCGACTACAACCCCAACTACTGTTTTGCCGGCAAAACCTCCTCCATCAGTGACCTGAAGGAGGTGCCCAGGAAAAACATCACCCTCATCCGGTGAGTGCCCATCACTGTCCTGGGGGGCAGCGGGGGGTGTGGGGGAGGCAGGGAAGGGAGAGCTCCAGGGGGCCGGATGTCATCCCTGCACCACGAATTCCTCCGGCAGCAAGAAGCCAGTAGAGCCACCCCTCAGGGCCCCCAACCCCCCCAGGGAGAGAAGGTTCAGTGTTCAGGGCCATTGGGGGGGGGTGTTTGCTTGTTCAACACCCCATATACACATGGGGTTGGTACAATGAGAGGAGGATTAGATGGGAGGAATGGGGCTCTCCTCAAAATCCGCCCAAGTGCCCCTCCCCAGGCCTTGCTCCCCACTCCTAGCTCCCAGAGCACCCTGTGCACGTGTCTGTCACTCACCAAGCACACTCCAGGGGGTGTCCACCAGCTGTCTGTGCCCCTCACCCCCGGCCCCAGGGAGCACAGGCCTCCCTGGCAGGCTGAGCCTTAGTCCCCTCTAGGTCCCTGGCAAATATTAGAGGCTCAGTAAGTGTTCACAGAAGGAATGTCCAGCCAGTGTCCTGAATCCTGGCTTGGAAACTTTCTTGCTGGGTAAAGCAATGGAGGCCAGGACCGACGAGCAAAGCCAGACTGAGGGCATTACCCTTGAGGGTGTGCGTGACCCCCCTGGCTCCCATGTGCGTCCACTAAATGTGCCCCTGTCTCATCTCGCCTTCTCTTTGAACAGGGGTCTGGGCCACGGCGCGTTTGGGGAGGTGTATGAAGGTCAGGTGTCTGGAATGCCCAACGACCCGAGCCCCCTGCAAGTGGCTGTGAAGGTAAGAGGCAGCTCCCCTGTGGGCCTGACCTTGGCCAGGGGTCTCTGTAAGTGTGGCTGTCTGCTGAAAGCCTCTGACCTCTGCGGCTCACAGCCTCCTTCTCCTTCCCACCCTCCCTTCTGTGCCCAGACGCTGCCTGAGGTGTGTTCCGAACAGGACGAACTGGATTTCCTCATGGAAGCCCTGATCATCAGGTAACGATACAGGGAGACACCCCACACCACTGCCCCAAGCCTGTAAGGGACACGAGATGTTTCTAACAGGCACATCTTCGAGGGAAACAGGATTGTCCTGCAGCATAGCCCTCCCTCTCCAACAGGAGACTCTGTAAATTCTTAGCACGTCTTACCAGAGTGGAACCAGCCCCCAGATGGCTGTCTTAGAAAATGAATCCAATCGATAGCGCTCCACCTTCAATCCGCATCCCTGTGTCACCAGCTGGTTCTTTTCCCCCTTTTCTTAAGAAACAGAGCATGCTGGTTGTTGACAGTAGAAGATACAATCCTCCTCCAGGTATCTCTTCCACCAGGTGCTTCGCCAACCCCAGCTCTCAGCTCTCATGTAAAGGAAATGGGCCCCCAAGTGATGGAAGGTGCCCACCCTGGTCCACCCAGCTGGCCTGACCCTTCAATTGGTGGATCTGGGGCCCCCCACTGGGAGTCTCAGTGGCCGGGGCTCTGACAGCAGATGTTGGACCTTGAGGTCTGGCCAGGCTCATGGCCTCCTGGTGCACTGGGGAACCTCAAACATCCTGAAGGCTGGGGCAGCCCGAGGTCTCCCCTTGACAGAAGTGGAACGAGTCCAGAGCAGCATGTGTGGTGCGCTGGGTCCATAGGAGGATAGCAGCAGGCTCAGCCCCTGCTTTAAAAATGACGTATTTTCTGACTGAGCATGTAGTATGTGATTATTGAATAAACCTGGAAAGTGGGAGAGTAGATGGAAGGAGACCCGAATCACTCCATCTCCGTACTTGGCAGTAACTAAGCAGCATTATATTTGGGTGTACAGTCACCCGGTGTGTCACCTCTGCACGCGTGCGCCCACGTGGAGTTCCCTGGCCCCGCTGCCTCACGTGTCCCGATAGGATCACGTTAACAGGAAAACCCGAATCTCAGAGCCCCCATGAGGAGTCCACAGTGGGATCCGTGGCCCACTTCCTTGTTCTCTTCCACACACGGTCACCTGGCAGGTCTCCCGCAGTCCCTCGGGAAAGCAGTTCCTCTTCCGCCTGAGGCCTTCCTCTGAAAACCCAAACCCCAAACATGAATCCTGGCCAGCAGTCCGCGCCCCAGCCTCAAAGCCCTCCTCTCCCCACCCCCGCCCCATCTGCTCACCCAGGTTCCTCCTCACCCCCTCGCCCCCGAGCAAGTTCTTCCAAGCAGACTGAGCTCCCACCAGACCTGCCCTCTGGTTCTCCCAGCTGCTCAGCTGCCGGATTATCCTCTGCTTCGGCCCAGCCTGGGAGCCCTGCTTCCCACATTTACAGAAAGCATTTACAAATGTGGCTTCTGAAAGCATAAATCTGTACCCAGCTTTGCCCACTTAAGGTTTTCCCAGACTCAGCTCAGTTAAATTCGGTTATTCCCCTCTGCTCTGCAGCAAGTTCAACCACCAGAACATCGTGCGCTGTATCGGGGTGAGTCTGCAAGCCCTGCCCCGATTTATCCTGCTGGAGCTCATGGCGGGAGGAGACCTCAAGTCCTTCCTCCGAGAGACGCGCCCTCGCCCGGTGAGTGAGAACCAGCCTTTCCCAGTAGCTGTGCCGGGGGACGGAGCAGGGGGAGGAAGGAGCCAGGGTGGGCAGCCTGGGAAGCAACATACTCAGTGGGACCGAGGGAGTCGGCCCATGGGCTCGGATCTGGGGGAAAGGCGGGAGAGACGGGACAGAAGGTGGCCGATGGCTGAGCCCAGCCCCAGGGAGCTTGTGCAAGGCTTGTGCAACAGCTTCTCCAGGCTGTATCTATTCTTATGGCCTGCTGATTGTGGAAAACCAAAACTAGGGACAAGCACAGTGGGGGGACTTTCATGCCGGCTGTGTCACTCAACCAACTGACTTGGGGCAGGTCACTCTGCATCCACCCGTTCTGAACCCCACTGTCCTCATCTCTCAAATGTGGACATCCTGACCTTGTAGTTTTACTATCAAAGTAGAGTGCTGGGGTATTTAGGAAGGTGCTGCATACATGTTATGATTAAAGGGCTAGAGCTTGGGGGAGTGAAGAAACCTAAGTGACCCACCCACGCCCAGCCCTGCTTGGCCATTAGACAACCTGCTTAGGGCAGCCAACCCCCTCTAACCTCAGCATCTGCAACGTGAACTCCTCGGGCTAGGCTAGAACATCTCGGACAGAGATCATTTATAAAATACAGCACACTGGGCGAGCCCGGAGTCCAGCTGTCCACTCCTGTCACTGCCGGGGTCTTCAAGAGGCCTGGACCCTGGAAACTGGAGCAGAGCAGACCCCTGAGTTAGGACCTGACTTCCTCTGGTTGCCACTGGACTATGAGAACCACGGGGAAGACTTGTACCCTCCCCACCCCCAGGACAGCAGAGAAAGACCGACAACCGCTCTGCCACAGCAAGACCAGAACGGAACGCTCTCCTCACGAGGACCCCAAGTGGTTGCGGAAACCTCGGAAGGTCACGCCTACTCCAGTCCACGCCTTCGCTCAGGCTCAGTTTAGAAACCGCCTCCTTAGGAGCCTCCACACCGTCCCCGCAAGCCTCTGGGTGACCTCTCTCGGCATCTAAGAGGAATCCGCTCTAACGCCTCGAGAAGATGAGTGTGTGTGCACCTGAGCACACCTGGCAGGAGGAAGGGGCTGGGGGAGGGGCAGAGAGAACTAAGCCCACCTCACGGTAATCCTCATCTGCATTGTCACAACCACCCTGTGAAGGAGATGGTACAGATCTCACCCCATTCTGGAGACGGGAAAACAGTGGCTCAGGGTGGTCATGTGACTTGCCGAGGTGCACAGGCAGTGAAAGAGCTCAGGTCTGGTGGATCCTGATTCCATGCTCTCTCCAGCCTGCTGTGCTGTTTATCCAGATGGTCCCCTTCGAGAAGCCCTGAGTGCCAAGGTGAGGGTGGGTTGTTCAGAGCAAATGCCGCGAGCTATGCCGGCATCTCTGCCAGGTCTGGGCACCAGCCTTGGCTTTCCCACCAGCACCCAGCAAGGCCGAGCGGTGCTGGGAAGCAGTGCCTCTGGCAGACGTCACACGGAACACTTGGTATCACACTTCGGGCAGAGGCCTAGCTCTGGCTTTCCCACTGGAGATTCCTGGGGCTTGAGGACAAGAAAGTATTGTGACCTCCTTGTAAAGGGAATCTGGGAACCCTTCACTTGGCAAGTCCGAGGACTTGCGGGCAAAGGTATCTCTCTCCCTTGATGATGAAAGAGGATTTGAAGGTTGTCTCAAAGAATGAAGCACCAGCAAGGACAAGCAGGTCACTGACATCTCCCACCACCTCCAGCCCCAGTGCCGCCCCCGGGAGGCTCAGAGCAGGAGCCTGCTGCCGAGTCCCGACCTCTAGCTGCAGCCACCGCCCGAGGGATGCCCACAGCCAGCAGAAGGTCCACTCCGCTTGGGAGAGCCGCTTCTAAGGGTCGGGATCCCCCCGACCAAATCTGCCCGTTAACCCTTGACCCTGCTCTTCCGTGTGGCTCTCCCTGCCAACCGTGCCCCTTGGTAGCACCCCAGTCCTCCTCCTTACCCCTCTACACACCCACTCGTCTCAGGTGAGCTGGTCGTTCCTGAGGTACTGCCCACGATGGGTGATTTAAAACGTCGGATCACAGCCTCCAGAGTGACCCCGTGCAAATGTGTTTGTAGCAGCAACTTCCGGCCGTGGGTGGAAGGGGTGGGGAGGTGGGGAGGAGGTTGCTAGGTGTGCTGCATGATTCTCAGAACCACAAAATCCAGCTTAGTGGAGTGGGGGTCAGGTTGACTGTGAGAAAGGAGCGCGAAGTGGACCGAGGGGGCTAATATCAGCAAATCCTACACATGATGAAGACGGGAGGGGCTGGCTGATGGACATCAGGGCCGGAGAGATACACGCCCTGAGGAGAGGGTGGGCAGAGTCGTGCCTCCAGCCTGTGGAGCTCACTGGATTCAAAGGCCTGAAGTCCACCTGATTCATTTGTTTGAAGTCCTTGAGTCTCCGGGCTTACCTGATGATGACCTGATGTGTGCAGGCACCCGGCTGGGCACTCAGAGTCACACGAGCACTCTGTACTCACTTCCTGCCATCCCCGGGGCTCAGTGGCTCCATGGACCATCAGGATAGAAGGACATGAAGTAATGATGGATATACAGACTCAGAAGACAGAATGGGTACCTGGACCAACCATGTCTGTCATGGACATGAAATTCATGGGTACAGAGGAAAACATCGTTTGGTCCCAGGACCCCACCTCCTCAAGAAGGAAGGACCGTTTTAATGTCAAAATAATTTTGCAGATGCTCTCTTTATTGAACAAATTTTTATTGAGGGTTTAATATATGCCAGATGTAGGCTAGTAGCTGTCTTTTAATATCAGTTGATTCAATCAATAATGACAAAGACCATTAAGGAGTCAGTAATCTCTTTATTCAAGGTGGCAGTCATTGACCGCTATAGTGTCTATAGCTGTTTGGAACATGGTAATCCTGTAGGTAATGGCTCTAGAGAAGAGGCTCAGTACAAGACGGCTTCTTGGATGTCAGAGGTGAACAGCACAGAGGTGAGAACCTCTGGTTGCAACTAATGCTTAGGTTTTCATCTTTGGCTTCAACTTTGCCAAATACCAATGCTGCCTCCAAAGTGTGTGGAGGGGTATTTTCTCGGCCATGTCAGGAGCCAGGAATATGAGGGCCCAGCACCATTCGCATCTCATCACTTTTCAAAATGGATTTTTGCCACGTTTAATATTTTTTGTCCCCTGTCTGCATTCTTTGCTTCTTCCTTTCATCTTTCCTTCTTACCCTCATATGTGTCAATTTTAAAATATATCCCTAGTCTGTTTTTCACTTGGTGAAACAGTTCCTCCCCCATGTCCTGTGACCCTTCATCTCTAAATGCAGAAGCTACTTAAGGAAGGAACAGGTATCAATATTATTCTGTCTTTTATTAGTATATACATTATCCTTTGAAAACAGCCTCTCAGAAACTGCAAGCAAAGAAATTATTCCACTTCAGTGGGCCTCTTTTCTCCCGTGTAAAAGTAGGATATTGGTCAAAACAGTGTCCCTGAAGGGAACTCCGGTACCCTGAGGTGCTACACACTCACACACACGCTCAGAAGAATTCCTTGGTCAAGCAAATGTCAGAGCCACGCAGACTCCTCTCTTACCGATTCTCAACACACATTAGCGTATAGCAAAGACTCTGATCATTTCTGTGATAAAGAAGCCTATTTAACCCAGGAATTCCCATGCCTGTTTGATTGAATTCCATCCCACAGCCTGCTTTGGGAAATACTACACAAAATCCTCTCTGAGTACTGGGCAGGCTACACCCATAACCATGACTGCCCGAGTTGCCAAAGGAAGTGCCGCATTCAGTGGCAAATAGGGGGCAGAAACCCTGGTTCCAAGGCCTTCTTTGCCCAGGATGGATAGAAATGACACTGAGCACACTGGCTACACTCTGCACTGCTAGTTTTAAGTATCGGTTTTGCCACAGCATCCACACCTCCGCCACCACGTGCGCGCGCGCGCACACACACACACACACACACACACACACACCCACACACCCATGGGTTACCGTCTGTCTGCTCTGTTCAGACTGATTAGCGGCGCGGTTAATTTGCTCTGAGCAGCCAAAGACAGGGAGCCCAGATAATCCCGGCCCGTGGGTTAATGCATGGGAAGATTTAGTCCCTGCAGCACACCAGACTCATGGAGCATTTGAGACGTCAGTGGTCCTTGCATCCTGAGTGATGGGGGCTAAGACACAAAGAGACCCGGGGGGAGCTAGGACTGGGTCCTCTTTGGCAGGAACAGAAAGCAATTTGAAAGAAAGAGAGAGAAAAGATTGTTCTAATACTATAGCAAGATGGATGCATATTCCCCTTGGAAATATATTACTTTCCTTTTCCCCAGGAAAAGGGGACCGTCTCTCACAGTGCCCAGTACTTCTCAGCCTGACAAGGTCCTGGGAGAAGCCCAATACAAGAGCCATTTCCCAAGACCCCACAGCACCCCCAGGAGCAGCCCCCTGCATAACTGCAGAGCCCTCTATGAAGCGCTCACTCTGTGCCTCTGACTGTAGGTGCTCTTAACCATCCAGTGAGGCCAAGAGTGTCATGCTGATTTCACAGACCAGGACACAGTGGCTTGGACAGAGGCAAAGCGGTCAGCCCCAGCTCACACAGCCAATAGGGGACGAGCAGGATGAAGCCCAGCTCAGCTCAACCGAGCACCGAAATGTGCCCTCATGGCATCTGTGTGCTGCATCCGTATTCACTTGGGTACCATGCACTGCGCCCATGGCTACTCCGGCCCTTCTCGGACACGCTCTCCCGAGAAACTCCGTTTTAACTCCTAGAATCCTACTTCCCCCAACCCAGATCCTTAAAGCCCAGTTCAGGGCAGTTTCGGCTCCACCCTGTTGACTGTGTGACCTGAGCCTCTCTGAGCCCTCAGCCCTCTCATCTTTAATACAGAGGTAACCTCTCTTCCCTACCGACCACACGGGATGTTGCATCAAAGGAGATCATGTCCTGGGACTTGCTCTGTTGCATGTAAGGCACTGCCCAGTGGTCCATGGGCAGAGACTATGCCCCTCCCTGAGTCTTCCCCCCCCCAGAACTGAAGCATATGCCCTAGACAAACGCCTCTCTGCCTCCTTCAGTCCCGTGCTGTCTCTCCAAGGAGTCCCGGGGAGGCCCTGGTCTGTGGCCGACATCTGGGTAAACCCTAGTTCCGCTGTAATCAACCAACGAACCCCCTTGTTCACTGAACCACGACAGCGAGCTAAGGGTCATGTTGGAGACCACGGAAGTGGACGCTGAAGGCCCTGCCTCGGGTGCCTCGAAGTTTCCTTGGGGACATGGTAAGATAGGCACAGAAGAGCGCAGTGAATGTGACACTGCATGACAACGTGTTGCTGCAGACTTGGCGGTTTAGGAATTTAAAAGACACCAAGGAGGGCATAGCCCTCAGAAAAGACTTCCCGGGGCTCCACCAGGCTGCGGGGAGGCAACGGCGGGGTGCATCTCGGGGGCAGCGGGGGTGAGGGGGCGGCAGCAGTTTTTGCACAAAAGAGAATCATGCAGAAAGGCCGGAGATGGCTCTTCAGCTGCCCATCATTTTCTGGAAGCTTTCCTTTTTCAATCCACTTCAGGTCTAGGTCTTCAGGAAGAAAATTAATTTTTAAAAAAATATTTTTAAGCATTTAACTAGAGCATTTCTAAAACAATATTAGCCCCCTTTATTTCCCCACAGGCCTGTTTGTACGTTTGGGGGATCCAAATGTTTATGAAGATTGAGGTGGAAGAATGGGCAGAAAAAGTGCAAAGGGGCAGGACGTCTGCCAGTCCCGGTTCCTGTGGTTTAGGGCTCCAGCCCCACTCATCTGGGAGCTGCGACCCTGTAAATGTTGCGCCCACCTGCAGAGATGGAGTCTTTGGTCTGGGCTGAGGCCCAGGCATCTGCATTTTTTTAAGCCGCCAGGTGATTTCGAATGTGCAGCCAGGGCTGAGACCCTGGGGGTGGCGCACCTGTGTGGCCTCCTAGCAAGCATGGGAAGTGTTTCAGATCTTCTCTCCCCCAAGAACTTCTCATCAGCTGGTCACTTCTGTCTGCCACAGAATCAGCCCTCCTCCCTGGCCATGCTGGACCTCCTGCACGTGGCTCGGGACATCGCCTGTGGCTGCCAGTATCTAGAGGAAAATCACTTCATCCACCGGTGAGTCTAAGTGGCCTTGCTCTACCCCCACCTTCTGTATGCTTCCCTACATGTCTCAGGGGCCCAGATCGTGCCTTCAGAGCAGAACAATAGGTCTCTCTCCAAAGCTGTTTGGATGGCTCAGCTTTGTCTTTAAGATGGTTATCACTCTACCAGGGCTTCATCTGGCCCATAGGTAAAGTGGGATCATAAGACATCCATACCTGCACTGGAGACCCAGATGAGCTATACCTGACCCCCTGCAGGGACTCCTGCCTGTGTCAAGTCCTAGATCATGTGAACGTTTCCATATCTAGAAAACTGGGCTCCTTAAGGGACGTTTAAGGAGTTTATATTTTCACATATCTGACTATGAGTAACTCGAAGGCAAGGACCCTGTTTTATTCATCTTCATATCACTGGCACAGAGTGGGGCACAATAAATGTTTATTGGATAAATTATTTTTTTCTAAAATACTCTGAAATGAAAAATAACGATTATTTTCTCCACCTCTGTACTTCATTTCTTCTACTCTTCTACTCTACTCCTTGTGTTTAAATGGTGTTTTCATTGGTACATCAAGTCCACGTGTAATGCTATAGACATGAGAGATGACACGTATTTCTTTCCATGTGGCCATTCATGGCTTTCTCAGCAGACAGCTTGATTCTGAAACCTGAAAAGTCAAATAGATTGTTAGGCTCTTTGCAAAGCTCTTGCTAACCATTTGCTTCTACTTTAGTAAATAACAACCTGGTGAACTAATAAACATTCATTAACCCATCCAAGAGTATAAGACATGTTCCTATTAATTAGAATATGTAATACAACGTAGAGAAGGAGAGAATATGTATGAGTTTAGAAATAGAAAAGCGTGTAGGTAGATAACAAGCTATGCTTCCTTCCCTAATAAAAATGGGGAAGTTGAAGGTCAAGAAATACACTGGCCTAGCTTCCCAGAACCATTCCTGAAACAAGGCGAGACGCTCACATCGGCTCATCCTTTGACTGTCACTTCATCACTTTGATCTTCAGATCTTCCAGTTGATTTTCAACCTTTCCAACTTGCAGATCATTGTGCTTGATAGAAATAACAGAAGTAAAAGAGAAGCCAGGCTCCGTTCTTTCTGTTCTCCTCCAGCCCTGCCATTGTTATTCTCGCCCTTTTTAATGTGTACACAGCTTTCCATAACTCTCAGCTCTGGGCTTTATTGTTGTTCAGACATGACAAGGTTGTACTCTTTTTGGAATTAGTCCTTGGCTAGAGCCATCTTGCCATATTTTGTCCACGTCCTCTAAATCTGGGCTCATCTGAGAGCAACATGTGCTGTCCCCTTGGTGACTTCAGATCTCTCCCTTCACTTCTCCCTGAGGTCGTTCCTGCCTTTAAAAAAAAAAAAAAGATTTATTTATTATTTTATTTATTTTTGGCTGCTTCGGGTCTTAGTTGCAGCACATGGGATCCTCGTTGAGGCATGCGGGCTCTTCGTTGCTGCGCACGGGCTTCTCTCTAGTTGTGGCGTGCAGGTTTTTTCTCTCTCTAGTTGTGTCGCACGGGTTCCAGAGCACGTGGGCTCTGTAGTTTGTGGCATGCAGGTTCTCTAGTTGAGGCATGCGAGCTCAGTAGTTGTGGTGCACGGGTTCAGTTGCCCCACGGCATGTGGGATCTTAGTTCCCTGACCAGGGATCAAACCTGCATCCCCTGCATTGGAAGGTGGATTCTTTACCACTGGACCACCAGGGAAGTCCCCATTTCTGCCTTTCTATCTCCACTCCCACATTAGTCACCAAGCATCCAGATTCTCTGACTGAGGGATCATATCCATCTTTCCTCTGACGTTTTGAAATCTGCTTTCCTAGAGGCATGATAACATGTTGACTATATCCAGTGCTGTTATTACAGATAATAAGATAACAGGATCATATTCTCTTAAGATTCTTATGGCTTTCATATCTGTAAATAGTTACTGAAGGTCAGAATTAGATCCCAGAGTAACAGTTTGCTGCTCCTTTTATCTTTTTTGAGAAATGAAATTGTCAAAGATTGAATCAATAATGTATCAGATGATCGCTTTATAAGCAAAGGGTGACTATTAGCAGAAATTGTCCATCTCGATCAAAGCTGTCTTCTGAGGTAATTGGTTTGAAGAAAACATCTTTTACATCTTCTAACTGGCTTGAGGTCTGTGGCACACTCCCCCAATAGGTTTACCTTAATTCTCTTTCCCCCACCCAGTGTCTGCCTTAAGATTCGCAGACTCCCATGCAACCACACCTGCTACCAGATCCACATGCTTCCATTTTTCTATTAGATCTCTTTCCTTTGGACATGCTTTATTGCCATTTCAATAAATATGTGTCATTCTACCAATTCTTGGTGTGTTCTATGATGTTACATTTACTTTCCTGCCATTAGATTCAAGATCAATTTTTAAAGCAACCATTCCCTGCACATCAATGGAAAGACCTTTCTGGATCCATAAATATTGTTCCTGGTCTATTTCACTATATTTCTCTTGAGAAGCAGTGGCTATATCTCTTACTATTTTTTTCTTCTTTTTGATGTCATATATGTTATGCTTTTATGGTTGCCTTAGGGCATTTTATGCACCGTTGCTCCTCGAAATTCAACTTAAACCTTCTGGATCAGGGCGTTGGCATTAATGACATCCATCTCCCACCCTGACCCATTGTTCTGATCTCCTAAGCCATGAGGCCCTATCCAGACCCTATTTTTAATACTATCCAGTTGTTTATTCTCCATGTCCTTCTTTCTCAGCCAAAGGTCAGAACCTTCATGAAACCAACTGAAAATGTGAAAACACCACCTGTTCCCCCCAAGGAGTACTTTTTTTTTTTCCCCCGTCCAGGACTTTAATGTTATTAGAAACCCATTCCAGACTTCTTCTGGCTGCATCCTTAATCCCCACATGCATGTCAAGAATGGGTTAGCGGGGCTTCCCTGGTGGTGCAGTGGTTGAGAGTCCGCCTGCCGATGCAGGGGACACGGGTTTGTGCCCCGGTCCGGGAAGATCCCACATGCTGCGAAGCGGCTGGGCCCGTGAGTCATGGCTGCTGAGCCTGCACGTCTGGAGCCTGTTCTCTGCAACGGGAGAGGCCACAACAGTGAGAGGCCCACGTACCGTTAAAAAAAAAAAAAAAAAAAAAGAATGGGTTAGCAGTCAGTGAGTAGCAGTTGATGAATCTTGGAAAGCTTCTGATCGAGGCTTACAGGTGTGCTATGGGAGAATAGGCCATCTGGAGAATAACAACTAAGAAGACAAGGTAACTTTCTAACTCGAAAGAAGCGATTCTTTGGCCACATAGCTATGATGCATACAGCTTAGCAAAGGCTTTAGATAAAATCACAGATGTAAAAACCATAATGGCTTATTAAAAAATAAAACTAGAAGTATTTGGGAATACTTTGACCTACTTGAATCTGGTCATGGAAATTATGCTGTTCCAGGATACTCCTTCATCCAACCGGCAAAAACCAACCAGCAATCTGTACAGAACAATAGCCTACAGCCAAACGCATTTCTTACGTCCCTCTGTCATCTTCTCTTAGCTTAAGTGTTTTTGATAAAATAAGGATAATGATAGCACCTTGTGTCTTACAGAGTTGTGAGAATTAGATATGAAGCACATAGAACAATGCTTAAGTACACAGTAAAAGGCCAATCACTTTTCTAGTTCCTATTATAGTTATTTTCATTATTATTATCCCATTAAACATTTCAATCATCTCCCCAAATCCTTTTCCATTTCCCTCTTAGTTCTTTTTTTTTTTTTTTAACATCTTTATTGGGGTATAATTGCTTTACAATGGTGTGTTAGTTTCTGCTTTATAACAAAGTGAATCGGTCATACATAAACATATGTTCCCATATGTCTTCCCTCTTGCGTCTCCCTCCCTCCCACCCTCCCTATCCCACCCCTCCAGGCTGTCACAAAGCACCGAGCCAATATCCCTGTGCCATGCGGCTGCTTCCCACTAGCTATCTACCTTACTACGTTTGTTAGTGTGTATATGCCCATGACTCTCTCTCGCCCTGTCACAGCTCACCCTTCCCCCTCCCCATAACCTCAAGTCCGTTCTCTAGGAAGTCTGCGTCTTTATTCCTGCTTTACCCCTAGGTTCTTCATGACATTTTTTTTCTTAAATTCCATATATATGTGTTAGCATACGGTATTTGTCTTTTTCTTTCTGACTTACTTCACTCTGTATGACAGACTCTAGGTCTATCCACCTCATTACAAATAGCTCAATTTCGTTTCTTTTTATGGCTGAGTAATATTCCATTGTATATATGTGCCACATCTTCTTTATCCATTCATCCAATGATGGGCACTTAGATTGTTTCCATCTCCGGGCTATTGTAAATAGAGCTGCAATGAACATTTTGGTACATGACTCTTTTTGAATTTTGGTTTTCTCAGGGTATATGCCCAGTAGTGGGATTGCTGGGTCATATGGTAGTTCTATTTGTAGTTTTTTAAGGAACCTCCATACTGTTCTCCATAGTGGCTGAACCAATTCACATTCCCACCAGCAGTGCAAGAGTGTTCCCTTTTCTCCACACCCTCTCCAGCATTTATTGTTTCTAGATTTTTTGATGATGGCCATTCTGACTGGTGTGAGATGATATCTCATTGTAGTTTTGATTTGCATTTCTCTAATGATTAATGATGTTGAGCATTCTTTCATGTGTTTGTTGGTAGTCTGTATATCTTCTTTGGAGAAATGTCTATTTAGGTCTTCTGCCCATTTTTGGATTGGGTTGTTTGTTTTCTTGTTATTGAGCTGCATGAGCTGCTTGTAAATTTTGGAGATTAATCCTTTGTCGGTTGCTTCATTTGCAAATATTTTCTCCCATTCTGAGGGTTGTCTTTTGGTCTTGTTTATGGTTTCCTTTGCTGTGCAAAAGCTTTGAAGTTTCATTAGGTCCCATTTGTTTATTTTTGTTTTTATTTCCATTACTCTAGGAGGTGGGTCAGAAAGGATCTTGCTGTGATTTATGTCATAGAGTGTTCTGCCTATGTTTTCCTCTAAGAGTTTGATAGTTTCTGGCCTTACATTTAGGTCTTTAATCCATTTTGAGCTTATTTTTGTGTATGGTGTTAGGGAGTGATCTAATCTCATACTTTTACATGTACGTGTCCAGTTTTCCCAGCACCACTTATTGAAGAGGCTGTCCTTTCTCCACTGTACATTACTGCCACCTTTATCAAAGATAAGGTGTCCATATGTACATGGGTTTATCTCTGGGCTTTCTATCCTGCTCCATTGATCTATCTTTCTGTTTTTGTGCCAGTACCATACCGTCTTGATAACTGTAGCTTTGTAGTATAGTCTGAAGTCAGGGAGCCTGATTCCTCCAGTTCCTTCTTTCGTTCTCAAGATTGCTTTGGCTATTCGGGGTCTTTTGTGTTTCCATACAAATTGCAAAATTTTTTGTTCTAGTTCTGTGAAAAATGCCAGTGGTAGTTTGATAGGGATTGCATTGAATCTATAGATTGCTTTGGGTAGTAGAGTCATTTTCACAATGTTGATTCTTCCTATCCAAGAACATGGTATATCTCTCCATCTATTTGTATCATCTTTAATTTCTTTCATCAGTGTCTTATAATTTTCTGCATACAGGTCTTTTGTCTCCTTAGGTAGGTTTATTCCTAGATATTTTATTCTTTTTGTTGCAATGGTAAATGGGAGTGTTTTCTTGATTTCACTTTCAGATTTTTCATCATTAGTATATAGGAATGCCAGAGATTTCTGTGCATTAATTTTGTATCCTGCCACTTTACCAAATTCATTGATTAGCTCTAGTAGTTTTCTGGTAGCATCTTTAGGGTTCTCTATGTATAGGATCATGTCATCTGCAAACAGTGACAGCTTTACTTCTTCTTTTCTGATTTGGATTCCTTTTATTTCCTTTTCTTCTCTGATTGCTGTGGCTAAAACTTCCAAAACTATGTTGAATAAGAGTGGTGAGAGTGGGCAACCTTGTCTTGTTCCTGATCTTAGTGGAAATGCTTTCAGTTTTTCACCATTGAGGATGATGTTTGCTGTGGGCTTGTCATATATGGCCTTTATTATGTTGAGGAAAGTTCCCTCTATGCCTACTTTCTGCAGGGTTTTTATCATAAATGGGTGTTGAATTTTGTCAAAAGCTTTCTCTGCATCTATTGAGATGATCATATGGTTTTTCTCCTTCAATTTGTTAATATGGTTTATCACATTGATAGATTTGCGTATATTGAAGAATCCTTGCATTCCTGGAATAAACCCCACTTGATCATGGTGTATGATCCTTTTAATGTGCTGTTGGATTCTGTTTGCTAGTATTTTGTTGAGGATTTTTGCATCTATGTTCATCAGTGATATTGGCCTGTAGTTTTCTTTCTTTGTGACATCCTTGTCTGGTTTTGGTATCAAGGTGATGGTGGCCTCGTAGAAGGAGTTTGGG